ATCCGGAATGGATTGGGGTAGGCGCCATCGAAACTTGCCCCTTTGAAAATTTTTGGCAGGGGTTAGGGGGGGGGGGGGGGGGGGGGGGGGGGGCACCGATATCGCACATACACACAAGACAACCAGACCAACGTCGCGAGAGGCACGAAAAGACGCCGGGTCAGCCGACTAAGACCACACCACGCCTCGTTTCTCACCCGTTGCCTCTCGATGCTGCCCCCCTCTTTTGCTTGTTCCCCGAGAAAAGACACCCACTCATTCGGTCCCATCATCAACAAACCTAGTCGTGTCACCGCCCTTGCCATCACGGCGCGCATGTGAGATGAACTCCGCTGTGCTCCCCCCCCCACGCGCCCACTTTCCCCGCACAGAATAAATACCGATCGAGAGATGAAAGGAGAGCAGGTATGAATCATAAGAGCCAGAGAGGACAATACCTGCCAGCTTATTTTCTGTTCTTTTTGGGCGGTGCTATTCTGCGAGACCTCGTGTCGCCGAAGGACGTCCACTGCTGCTGTGATGATCCTATCGTAATGGCGGTGGGGAAAAAAAGAAAGAAACGGGTCCTCACGACCATCAAACAAACAAGTGGCAGCAGCGAGAGAGAAACACCGGGCAGCAAGGAAACACCGCAACCAAAGACAAAGCTGTCACTTGAAACGATAGGGGGGAGAACCGCAGAATCGTTCAGGAACAATTTTTTGCTTTCCACTACTTGTCGCGTGGTTGGTTCATGCTGCTCTCCTCTCGAACTCTCGCGCCACACTCTCTACACCCCCCCGAAAGCGTTGGGTAGGAACATCACTGAAACCGATCCAACATAACCAGCAAAAACGCACCGACCGGGGGGGGGGGGCTCTGGCGTTTATCGTTGACCCGTCCCCCCGACCCCCGGGAAACAAAACTACCCCCCCCAAGCACGAAAAACGGCCCTTGCCCAACATTTCCCCCCCTTTTGGGAATTGACATGTGGTAACCAGGGGGTCCCCTCCCACACCGGGGGGGGGGGGGGGGGCCCCAAAAAAAA